CTTTCTAAAACAGCAATGTTTCGTTTCGTTGGATCTATTAAAAATCTTCAATTGTTTCTAAATTCCTACCACTTCAATAAGTAGACAGCCGAGTCATCACTATGATTGTCATGTCGAGAAAAATCCGTCACAGATGTTTTTGCGCGGGCGATGAATTCTGCCTTTTGTGTCCTATGTTGCACTCTTAGTGGTCATGAGGCCACCGTGGCTCGGGCCGCACCGCCGCGCTTATGAAGGATAATGCTGGTGTTTTTTGTTTGCCCGTGTCCTTCCGTCCCCGACTGTGTGTGTGCGCGCTGACGGCTTCCTTGTTGTTGTTGCAGACGTACTCCCGCGACAAGGACAGCCCCCGGCCCGGCCCGCTGCCAGGCACGCTCCAGCGCCAGGCCCGGGCCTCCAGGAACCACCTCATACCAAGGTAAGTCATGTCGCAGTATGTGCGTGGGGGTGCGAGGGCGTATGAGGCTGTTGTAGTCCGTCTATCGAGCGTCACGCTCCACTTCGTCTGGACTGGAAGGTCGCAAGGACGGGGCGCCGTGCGGGTGGGCAACGCACCGACACGCCCGCTTAACGGGAGTGTCTACCGTCCAGGCGGGCAGGGCGCCGTGTAGTAGGCAACGCACCGACACGCAGGGTGTGTTAACTTAACATTCACATTTTCGTAACGGTAATTCCAATGATAACAATTTTTTTCGTTATGCTTTTTTGGTCGTTAATTTTTAAACCCAAAATATTTAACGTTAAATATTTGAACTAAAAGACGCTAGCTGAAAATTAACGTTATTGGATTACCGTTATAGTATTTAACGTTAATGAAAGATAACGAATTAATGTTCTGCTACACATTTACCGTTAATTCGTGTCACCAAATAAAAGTTATCAATAACGTTATTTCGGTCATCCGACGTGCACTGTTGCCACATCAGTCGGCATGGTTGACAAGAGGCTCACGAGAGAGAAAGAGAGAGAGGGGGAGGGGAGGGGGGTCACAGCCTTGGTGAAGAGAGCCACATTCAAGGGAAAGTATAAATATATAGGTACTTGTAGCGGTCGATTTCAAACATCTCCACAGTCACCCGTTCCGCGCAAGAGAAGAACAAAACCTCCGGCAGTAGTGGAAAAATGCGTTGGCGCGAATGCCGATTTCGACTTCTATTTGTAGTCATCTAAGATGTTCGG